AGCATTATCCTCTCCAGATGTCAGCTGAATATTCCGGCGGCCGAGCAGGTTGTCGCCAGTCCTGACATCAGAAGACGTTGTTTCCACAAAAAAAGGCTTAGGGTTTAGGGTTCATGGTTTAGGGCTTTTGGGGTTTAGGGTTTAGGGTTTAGGATTTGGGGTTTAGGGTTTAGGGTTTGGGGCTTAGGGTTTAGGGTTTAGGGTTTAGGGTTTAGGGTTTAGGGTTTAGGGTTTAGGGTTTAGGGTTTAGGGAGTTCGTTGACCCTAAACCCTAAACCTAAACCCCAAACCCTAAACGCTAAACCCTAAACCCAGGGCCCTACAAAAGGAAGGCGGCGCTTAAGCCTGTCGACCTCTATGGCGCAAGTTGACCCAGGGTCGCTTGGCTTGGAGGTCGGTAGCACCCACGATGGGCCCAGAAGGCCCCTTTCTGGGTCCTCGGGGGGTGCCAGGAAAATCCTTGGGCTGAAACCTGGGACCCCTGGAATGGAAGAAGTTGTTGGAAGTGGGCAGTTGACTTGAGTTTGGGCCTAAACTCTAAAAGGAATTGGTTTGGGTGGTTTGGCCGCCTGAGACGGCGTGGGGTGGGATAAAGATGTTAGATAGCTCTCCACTATCGGGCCATGGCTGCTCGTCGCATTTCACGGAGCTGTCGAAGCGAGTCGCAGCCCAACCTTCACAGCCTATGCGCCACTTCACAGCAAACCCTAAACCCTAAATCCTCGACCCTAAACCCTAAACCCTAAACCCTAGACCCTAAACCCTAGACCCTGAACACCCTAAACTTTGAACCCTGAACCCTGGCGAGCCCTGGAGGCAGGGCCTGGCGTTCGACCGCCGCAGCTTGCTGTTTGAGTCCTGCGAGCCAAACTGCACTTCTTTGAGGCTAGTTTAGGGTTTAGGGTTTAGGGTTTAGGGTTTAGGGTTTAGGATTTAGGGTTTAGGGTTTAGGGTTTAGGGTTTAGGGTTTAGGGTTTGGGGTTTAGGGTTTAGGGTTTAGGGTTTAGGGATAGTTTAGGGTTGAGGAAGCCCATAAGCCGCTTCTGTCGGTCGTCATTGGAGTTTTTGGTTTAGGGTTTAGAGTTTGGGGTATGGGGCTTGGGGTTTAGGGTTTGGGGTGGGTCTGTTGGAGGGGGGCGGGGGGGGGGGGGGGGGGGGGGGGCGGGTCTGAAAGGCGGATCCTGTACTTGGCACTTCCCTGCTTCCAACCCACCCGACCTCCCCCAAAGAAGAAGTTACAAAAAGTATTCCCTTGTTGTCCGTTGAGAATCATACTACAAGAACCCGCCCTAAACCAGATTAAAATTACTCAGGCCCCTATATTAATAGTAATAAAACAGGAAGGGGAAGTTTGAGGTACTTGGTAGCTCAGTAACCATAAGATGAGGAACCAGGCATACGGCCCCAAAGGGCACCACTATGCTACCAAGGGTACAACCCCTATATAACCCTTATACAACCCTTATATAACCCTTATACAACCCTTGAAAGTCCCTATCCTAAGTAGATCAGACATTGCGGGCGAACACTTTTTGTGATGCTTGCTATGAGTCGAGACGGCCTCGGCTTGATCTGATACGAGAACTCTGAAGGGGGTGGTGGTGGTGGTGGGCAATACTCATGGGAGGTGAGCACCCCAACCCCTAAACCCTAAACCCTAAACCCTAAACCCTAAACCCTAAACCCTAAAATCCCTTCCCCGAAAAGCGCAGCAGCAGGAGTCATGACGAGACTGGACGTGGATGAAGTCCACGGTTTCATCTTCGATTCCTTCCGGGTCTTGGGAGCTTGGGGGGGGCCTGGGAGCTTTGAGTCTTTATGTTCAGGCGTTTGACAGATAAACCTAACCCGGTTCTTGCTGGGCAGCGTCATGAAGCAGCGGTTTAGGGTCCAGAAGTTCAGGGTTTCAGGATGTAGGGTTTCAGGGTTTAGGGTTTAGGGTTTACGGTTTTGCGTTCCGGGTTTCGGGTTTCGGGTTTCGGGCACTAAGCACAAGAAACATGCCGGGAGGCTCCTGCCACACTGTGCGATCTGATTTCCCTCTTGATGTCTGTCAGGACCTGTGGCGAAAAGGGTTTAGGGTTAAGGGTTTCCGGCTGGGGGGGGGTGGGGGGGGGGGGGGAGTGGGGGGGGGGGGGAGGGGGGGGGGGGGAGGGGTGGGGGGGAGGGGGGGGGGTGGGAGGGGGGGGGGGAGGGGGGAGGCCGAAAAAGTTGAGGGTTAAAGGCTCCACCCTCAACCCGGTTGGCAGTAGAAGCTAGGGCACCTAAACCCTAAACCCTAAACCGCAAAACCCCAAACCGCAAACCGTAAACCGTAAGCCCTAAACCCTAAACCCTAAACCCTAAATCCCTCCCAAAGCCCTGCTCGGCGGTGGGCTGTGGAGAGGGTGGTGGTCACGCGGCCGCTGCAGCCCAGGGTCGTTGCCTTCACCTCCACGGATTTTGGGCTTAGGGTTGAGGCTGGTTAACGTTTAGGGTTTAGGGTTTAGGGTTTATGGTTTTTAGGGTGTTTAGGGTGTTTAGGGGGTTTAGGGGGTTTAGGGGGTTTAGGGGGTTTAGGGGGTTTAGGGGGTTTAGGGGGTTTAGGGGGTTTAGGGGGTTTAGGCCTTAGGGTTTAGGGCTTAGGGTGTTAGGGTGCCAGCGTGTTAGGGTGTTAGGGGGTAGGGTTTAGGGTGTTAGGGTGCTAGGGTGTCAGGGTGTGAGGGTGTGAGGGTGTGAGGGTGTGAGGGTGTGAGGGTGTGAGGGTGTGAGGGTGTGAGGGTGTGAGGGTGTGAGGGTGTGAGGGTGTGAGGGTGTGAGGGTGTGAGGGTGTGAGGGTGTGAGGGTGTGAGGGTGTGAGGGTGTGAGGGTGTGAGGTGTTAGGGTGTTAAGGTTGAGGGCTTGGTGTTTAGGGTTTCGGGCTAGGGTTCAAGGTGTTGAGGTTTGGAAACTTCTTTCAGGGTTCAGGGCTTCAGGATTTTGGGTTGTAGGGCTTTTGGGTTTTGGGGTGGCAGTCTGGGTTTTAGGGCTGCAAGGTTTCGGGATGGGCTTAGTTTAGGGTTTGGGGTTGAGAAAAACAACGGCTTTCCTTCTGACGATAGGGCTCCTCCGTGGAAAGACCCCATCCCCCCATCCCCCGTGTACCTGGAAGTTCAACTGCACTTAAGTCTACTTAGAGGACTTAGGTGGTTTATCAGTACAGTCATATTTGGGATTATAAGTACACATGAACCTCCAAGTACCCCATCATGCCCGCAGTGAACATCTAAGGGCTTTGGGGCTAAGCCCCTCGGGGATTGGGCTTATGGGCCGCGAAAGGATCTGCCACCTGCAAAGTACACACACACACACAAACACAACAAACACAACAAACACAGAGAGAGATAAACACACACACACACACAGACACACACACACACAGTCACACACATATGGCATTTCCCTCAAAAGAGGGTTGTCTTTCGAGAAATCGAAGGAGCACCTCTCAATTTTCTGTACACTCATCGGTCTCCTCAGCGAGTGAAACATCAGGCTGTCATTTCGAAAAAACTCTGCAGGTACGTTTTCACAGCTTACTGGATGGGTCTTCGTTGGCCCAAGCCATCCAGTAGCCCTTGGGCCCCCTGCACTGTCACATAGGCTATTCCATCGATCAGCTCAAAATTTGATCTACTCTTGGATACAGAGTTCCCACACACACATCCGGTCATGCCGGTTGTCTGAAAGATCATCTTTGGTAACCTTCCCTCGCTCCAACTCCCATTCAATGAAAGAACAAGCCGGAGACTCTCCCCCGTCCCCCAACTCTGCTCACGAGCAACGTCACTACTCATATCCATACTAGCAAGTTGAGTGAGGGAATGAGACGGGAGGAAAGAACAAAAACGAAAAGAAAGGGAGAAAAAAACAAACAGAGAAAGACAACAATAGACGTCGAAGGCGGCAGCGAAAACAAGGCGAACGTGAGACAGGGCGTGGCACGGCCCCGCGCCGGCGCACGCCGTCACGCGACCCGTCTAGAGAAGAACAGTATAACGGGACGTGGCACAGCCTCAACACTGGCGCACGCACCCCACTACTACACGAAGCAAAGAGAGGAAAGTAGAGAACCCAAAGATCCTTTGCTTGGAACTCCTGAAAAGCAAGAACAGAAATCCTTTATTGAAACCTCCCCGAAACCTCCCGAAGAAGAAAGCTTGAGCGTAGGCTCGATCGGGTCCCTGAACAGTTGTTGGTCGCTGAACATTTGATCACTACGGCATGGCTCAGGGAGAAAAGTAACGAACAATTGTTGGTCACTGAGCAATAACAGATCACACAGGATCTTGACGGTGTTCACTCATGACAGATCGAACAGCTCAGCATTGAACCGAGGCAGTCCTTCGATATTGAATAATCGGTAGTCACTGAACAAGGAATGGTCGCTGAACAGGTATTGGTCACTGAACAGGTGTTGGTCACTGAACAGGTGCTGGTCACTGAACAAGCAAAGATCCCAGCGGATCTTCAGGGTGTTGCTCAGTGTATCTCAGCATTAAACAAGGCAGTCAGTGAAAACATGAACCAACTGCCCTCTCACTTCAAAGGTCTCTGAACAGATTGCTGGGTCTGCTCAAGAAATGGTTCTGCTCAAGGAGTGGTGGTTGAACACATCAAACTCAGCAAACACGGATGAACGAATGTCAGGGTGATGTACCTGAACAAGAGATGGTGGAGCCAGGTGCCAGGTGGCTCAAGTAGTAATGAACTAGACATTTGATGGTGATGCACTCGGAATGGTCACTGAACATCTGAAGGGTGTCACTCTGAATCAAGTGAACACTGCGGGGCATTGTGCAGATGCCCATCACGACCAGCGCTTTGTCAGAATAACTGGCCGGAACACACATATGGCATTTCCCTCAAAGGGGTTGTCTTTCGAGAAATCGAATGAGCACCTCTCAATTTTCTGTACACTCATCGGTCTCCTCAGCGAGTGAAACATCAGGCTGTCATTTCGAAAAAACTCTGCAGGTACGTTTTCACAGCTTACTGGATGGGTCTTCGTTGGCCCAAGCCATCCAGTAGCCCTTGGGCCCCCTGCACTGTCACATAGGCTATTCCATCGATCAGCTCAAAATTTGATCTACTCTTGGATACAGAGTTCCCACACACACACAGAGATAAACACACACACACACACACACACTGTGCCCATGCCTGCGCCGCTACCTTAAAAACCAAACCCTGAACCCGTTTGTTTTTTTTTTACATCTGGCCTTGCGGAAGACCCTAAACCCTGAACCCATGAGTCGCGGGGGTCAGCCCTTCTTGCGGCGACCTGGAACCCGATTCTGAGAAGGTGCCTAGAGGGGTTTAGGCCATATGGTTTTGGGGTTGAGGGTTTAAGGTTTCGAGTCTCGGGTTTAGGGTTTTGGGTGGATACTTCCCCAACAAAACTCAACCCCCCCCACCCCCCCCCCAAACCCTCCTTGCCCACCACCTGCACACCCGACTCAGAGCCTTCAACCGCTTGTGGAGCAGCAGCATCATGTTCTGCTTGGCCTTACTTCTCCAACATCCAAAAGGGCTTAAAAGTGGGTAACCTTTCCTATTCCTACTAAATAAGGAAACCCACAAAAAGGTAGACTTTACTATTCCTACCAAATAAGGAAACCCAAACAAAAGGTTATAAACTTCTACTCTTGGCGAAGCAAGTCGCGTGCTCCCAGCGGGTGATGCCCAAAGCGCCCACGAGGAAAGGGCTCGTGGTGGCGTTGATCACCAGGGTCCTGGGCGCGCGCGCTGCGCGTGGGCAGAGGCCGCGAGCCCCCAAAAACCCTAAAGCCTAAACCCTAAACCCGAAAACCCCAAACCCTAAACCCTAAACCCTAAACCCTAAGGCCCAAACCCTAAACCCTAAACCCTAAACCCTAAACCCTAAACCCTAAACCCTACCCTCAACCCTGAATACCCAAGCCCCACTGAGCCTGAAAAGCCCTCATCACATAAGTTTGAAGGCGGGCTGGGGTTTAGGGAACAGGTGGCGTGCTCGCGAGCTCGTGGGGCAGCGCAACAGGCATTCACACCATCCGTGATGTTTAGAGTTTGGGTTTTAGGACTAAACAAGGCCCTGAAGCTTGGGCTTTGGGTTTGGGGCTGAGGGGTTGAAGGACCGCGGCAAACCCTCGACACAACAACAAAAGTACCATTAGGCCCTTGTTCGGGGTACTTGGGGTCCGCTGACACCCTAAACCCTTGACCCTAAACCCTAAATCCGCAACCCTAAACCCTAAACCCTAAACCCTAGACCCTAAACCCTAAACCCTAAACCCTAAACCCTAAACCCTAAACCCTAAACCCTAAACCGATTGAGGGTTCAGGCCTTGGGAAGAACCCTTCGAACCTAGAGCCCTAAAGCTTCCTAAATCCGTCCCAGCGGCAAAGCCGCAACACCCCCCACGTAGAAGAGCACACGCTGCCCGTCCTCTGGGGAAATGACGCCTGGGCGTGGGATTCTTAGGCTTAGGGATGTTTCGGGAGTTTAGGGTTTAGGGTATAGGGTTTAGGGTTTAGGGTTTAGGGTTTGGGGTTGAGGGTTTAGGGTTTAGGGTTGAGGGTCTAGGGACCATCGTACTCCTAGACCTTCCGGGATCCTGGGTGCTGATGTGACCCTTGGAACCTCAGCTCGGCCCGAAGTTTGAGCTTCCTTCCTGCCGCTCTCCGGTGCGAAAACCCTGAAGGGCTATAGGGTTTAGGGTTTAGGGTTTAGGGTTTAGGGTTGAGGGTTTAGGGTTTAGGGGTATAAGGGAGTGGGGTTCAAGTGGGTATGTAACCCAAGGTTCCCTGCCACTCCCTAAGGTTCCCTAAGGTTCCCAAGGTACCCACCACCCTTGAACCCCGCTCCCTTAAGAACCTAGAAAGGGTGTCAGTGCGTGACATTGATCACATTGTAGCATGGCGGCGTAACATTGTGTTCGTAGCGCTCAATACTGGCTGATTCTTAGTAGGGAATGGGGGAATGAGGTATCCTAGATACTCATTCCCTCATTCCTCAAGAGGAATAGGGTTTGGGGTTTGGGGTTTAGGCCCGATCCGGACCATCGTGAGACGTTAAGGACGGACCGGTGCTAAGTACTGGAAAACAAGGCACAACAAAAGTGGAAAGAAGGGGTCGTGAGATTTTACGTCTAGGTCATAATCGGGCATTAAGGAATAAACGGGAAGTAAGGAATAAGGTACCGTGTAAACAGGGTACCCATCCCCAACTGCCTCCCACGAACCAGCAGAATCAAGTAGGATGGCGAATAGTAGACCCCCCCCCTCCGCCCCACACCAACTCTAAGCCCTAAACCCGGAACCCTTGACCGTTAACCCTTGAACATGTAAACCCTTAACCCCTCCACCCTTAAACCCTTAAGTCATTAAACCCCGAAACCCTAAACCTCTAAACACGCAAACGCCTAAACCCCTAAGCCCCTCAACCCCTAAACCCCTAAACCAAAAACCCCTAAATCCCTGAACCCTAACCCTAAACCCCTGAACCCTAAACGCCTGAAATACCCTGAACCCCTAAACCCCCGACCCTCTCTCTCTCTCTCTATATATATATATATATGATCATATATATGTATATATCTACCAAAACCCCCCCCCCCCCCACCTCCAGCGCGGTTCGTGGCCACCTCGGAAAGAGTTTCCCACACTGCAAGGCGAATGGTTTGTAAAGGTTTATAGAGGGGTTTAGGGATTAAGGGTTTAGGGTTTAGGGTTTCGGGTTTAGGGTTGCTAAGCTGTGCCTAGCTGCTCAGGCAACCCCTTTTAAAGCCATACGATGGTCCCGAAGTGGCCGAAGCAACTGAATCAAAGATTCTTTTCAACAAGGGTGGTCTAACCCCAAACCCCAAACCCTACACCCTAAACCCTAAACCCAAACCCCAAACCCCAAACCCATATATTAGGTCCAGCATGAGGGTCTAAGGGTCTGTCTAGGACCTCACGAGCGCCTCACAGAGTCGGATCCCTTACCTGAAGGGGCCCCCCATCTCCTAACAACCCTGATAGGGTTTAGGGTTTAGGGTTTAGGGTTTAGGGTTTCGGGTTTAGGGTTTAGGGTTTAGGGTTTAGGGTTTAGGGTTTAGGGTTTAGGTTTAGGGTTTAGGGTTTAGGGTTTCGGGTTTAGGGTTTAGGGTTTAGGGTTGAGGGCTTAGGGCTTCGGGCTTAGGGAAGCAGGCTCATGGTTTCTAGGGGAGATGTCGGCATCCACACACACACACACTCACTCTGACACATGGGGGTTCCGTATTTGGGATCCCACTATGGGGATCCCAATATAGGGGGTCCCTTCTTCTCAAAACCGTAACCCTAAACAACAGAGCCCGAAAGAATGGAGATCCCAAAGTTGCCTGAAAAAAGATCTCAGCCACCCGAAGCCCAAAACACCTCACAACCCCAAAGGTTTAGGATTGATGGTTTAACCACAAACCCGAACCCCACACCACAACAGAGCCCATACTACCAGTATTTTGTTCCAACCCCCACCTGGATGGCCAGGGACAGGCCGACGGCCCCCCTCAAGCCGCCCCAGGTGATCACCGCAACCTCCGCCAGTGAGACCTGAGCTGGTGTCACGGGTTTTCGATTTCGCGGTGTAGGTTCCGGGGCTTGCCGTTGGGAATGTTTTCGTGGCTTTAGGTAAAAAACTACAACCTACACAAAAGTGGGTTTGGGGTTCCTAGGGTAGGGCTTTAAGAATACGTCTAGCTTTTGGGTGGTTCTCAAGCAAATAGTAGTTCCTAAACCCTAAACCCTAACCCCTAAACCCTAAACCCTCAAGGCCCGGATAAATGAAAAATGTGCGCGTTTCATCTCGAGCGGCTCGTGCAATAATCCTTCATCCTTCACAGTGCAACATGCAAAAACTCAGGCAAAAAGCATGGCCCCTAGGGGGCGCCTCTTTAGGCCCCCCGAAACCCGCCCAAAAGACCCAACCCCCCCCAAAGCCCCCCCCCCCCCCCACGCCCCCAAACCCCCAAGACCCTTCCAAACAGCCCAAAACGACCACCCCGACCAAACCCAACAAAACCTCCCCAAATTTCAGCAAAAGCAAAACCCCCCAAAACCCGGAAAAACCCGGCAAAACCCCCCAAAACTCCGGACACAAACCCTTTACAATTTCGAAAACCCTAAACCCTAAACCCTAAACCGAATCTGCTTCTGAGGTCTCGGCGGGCTCGCGCCGCGGGTGGAGGAGCTTGAGCACAGGCATGGAGCAGAACAGCAGCAAGAAGCCTCGGTTTCGAGTTGGTGCCAAGTTGGGGGTTCGGGGTTTAGGGTTTAGGGCTTAGGGTTTAGGGTTTAGGGTTTAGGGTTTAGGGTTTAGGGTTTAGGGCTTAGGGCTTAGGGCTTAGGGCTTAGGATTTAGGGTTTAGGGGGCGAAGAAACCCTTAACCTATGCTCACAGGGGCTCACAAGGGGGGGGGGGGGGGAGGGGGGGGAGGGGGGGGGGGGAGGGGGGGGGAGGGGGGGGGGGTTGGGTGGAAGAAAGGGTGGGCTAACCATCCCTTGACAAGGCTTGAGGGTTTTAACGGGGTGTTCATGGGGCCTTGGTAGGGCTTGAGGGTGCGAAGGTTTGAGGGTTTCAATACAGGCTTTCATAGGCCTTTTATGGGGTCCCTAAACCCTAAACCCTAAACCCTAAACCCTAAACCCTAAACCCTAAACCCTAAACCCCAAAGAAGAGAGGGCTCGAGCATTAAATAGGGCTTGAGAGGGCTTGGGACTTCTGGGGCGTACATTCAGCTTTGATGGCCTGAGCCGCTGAGAGCGGCCCTGAAACATCTGGAGCTCGAAGCCCTTAGCCCTGTACCAGCTTGCATAAGATGGAGATTCGGGTTTAGGGTTTAGGGTTTAGGGTTTAGGGTTTAGGGTTTAGGGTTTAGGGTTTAGGGTTTAGGGTTTAGGGTTTAGGGTTTCGGGAACATGGGCTTCTTGTTCCTGTGAAAGGGTTTTTTGGCTTGTCTATACCATACGTGTATGTCGAGATTATAAGGCGAACAACAGTTCGCACCTTATTTCGAATTGCTCAAGAACCCTCAAATAACATTCTTCCTTTGTAAGTGCAATATAGGGACGATGATCTTTCATCATTTCGGGGTTCTTAAGCAAACAGCAGTCATAAACGCCTTTGAACTTTCTAAAACCCTGGAAGCCCTTCAAAACCCTCAGAAATGTTCTAGATCTTACGGTCTAGACAAGCGTACGAAGGCTTAGTAAGGTTTAGGGTTTTACTTTGGGGCTCTTAAGCCTTAGAAGAGCCCGCAAAAACCCTTAGAAACCGGAAACCTTCGAAACCCTTAGAAGCCCTTGGAAACCCCTGGAAACCCTTAGAAACCCTTTGAAAATATTGCAAACCCTTAGAAGCCCTTGGAAACCCCTGGAAACCCTGAGAAACCCTTGGAAACCCTTTGAAAATCTTGGAAACCCTTAGAAACCCTTAGAAACCTTGCATAATGGGGGGGGGGGGGGGGGGGGGGGTGGGGGTTCTCAAGCAGATCGTAGTGTTTGTAGGCTCCCTGTGCCCCTAAACCCGAAACCCTAAACCCGAAACCCGAAACCCTAAACCCTAAACCGCACCCGTGACGACCCCCCGGCCTTGCTTCGAGTTGTCAGGAGCTTGAGGGTTGCTTACGGCCTCAACACCCGACTTTAGGGTTTAGGGTTTAGGGTTTAGGGTTTAGGGTTTAGGGTTTAGGGTTTAGGGTTTAGGGTTTAGGGTTTAAGGTTTAGGGTTTAGGGTTTAGGGTTAAGGTTGTGTTGTAACGGTTTTGGGTTGTGAAAGCTTACGGCTTAAGGCCCTAAACCCCAAACCCTCACCTAAAGCCCACAAAGCTTACATCGCAAGAGTGTTGGGGCCGAGACGGGCGAGGACAAGCATCACGTAGATCACCTCAGTCTTCGGCGCCCTGCACCCTCGAAAGCCAAAAAACCCTAAACAACCGCCTCAACACCCAAATCCTCAAAGCCGAAACCCTGACCCCCCAAAAGCCCGAAGCCCGTGAAGCCTAAGCCCTGTACCCCGAAACCTTAAACCCTCAAAGCCCAAACCCCCAAACCCCTCAACCCTCAACGCCTGCAGCTGCATCCTGCGCTGCCTAATATAGGGGTCTCAAAAACTCAAACCCTACATCCTGAACCCCTCCCCTAAGCCCTAAGCCCTAAGCTCTAAACCCTAAACCCTAAACCCTAAACCCTGAACCCTGAAACCTGAACCCTGAACCCTGAACCCCAAGCCCGAAACCCTAAACCCCTATAGAGTACCCTCCCCTCAGCCAAGCTGCCAGCAGATGGCCCCAGTCTTGGGCCTCAATCTTCACCATGGCATTCCTGGACGGGTGCTTATGGCGTTAGGGGGTTTTAGGGTTTAGGCTTTGGGTTTAGGGCTTCGGATTTAGGTGGCTTCGAGAGATGGGGGGGGGGGGGGGGGGGTGGTGGTAACCTTTAATATGCACCAAAATAAAATACATCCTTACTACAGAAACCCCCGAAGGGTGCCCCTATTTCGCAAACCCCCTTATGGCTTTAGGGGGTTTTGGGGGGTTTTAGGGGCTTAAGGTTTAGGGGTTTATATAGGGTTTAGGACTTTAGGGTTTAGGGGTTTAGAGTTTAGGGGTTTAGCGGTGAAGGGTTTCGCTGTTAGGGGTCTAGTCTGGAGTTGAGGGATTTAGGGTCTGGATCTTATGGATTAAGTCTGGGGTTTAGGGATTAAGTTTGGAGTTTTGGGATTGGGGGTTTAGGGGCTTAGGAGTGTGGCTTTGAAAACCGTTCGTTCACCATGAAGCCCAAACACGTTGAAGCCAGTTCACCATGAAGCCCAAACGCGTTGAAGCCTCGGGCCCAGAACCCCAGGGCCCTCAAAGCCTAAAGCCCCTAATGCCCCTGGATGGCTCTCCATACCCTAAACCCTAAACCCTAAACCCTAAACCCTAAACCTTATCACCCTAAACCCTAAACCCTCAACCCTAAACCCGAAACCCATTGCAGCACCCTCAGCCCCTCCGCCCTGAACTCCAAACCAGGAGGGCTCATGGTGCCGAAGCGGCCCAGTGAGTGCGCCGGCAAGGAAGAAGATCAAGCTATTGCACCTTCTCATCTCGAGGGCTTTAGGGTTTAGGGTTTAGGGTTTAGGGTTTAGGGTTTAGGGTTTAGGGTTTAGGGTTTAGGGTTTAGGGTTTAGGGTTTAGGGTTTAGGGTTTTTAGGGTTTAGGGTTTAGGGTTTAGGGTTTAGGGTTTAGGGTTTAGGGTTTAGGGTTTAGGGTTTAGGGTTTAGGGTTTAGGGTTTAGGGTTTAGGGCACCACTGGGCTACCAAGAGAGGCGAGCCTTCAGTGACTCGACCCGACATTAGCACGGGCGGCCAGGGCGCATGTACTCAAAGACGTGCCAGAAGCTCATCAGAGACTCCCTGGTGGGGCCCATTCTTGGTTTAGGGTTTAGGGTTTGTTAGGGTTTAGGGTTTAGGGTTTAGGGTTTAGGGTTTAGGGTTTAGGGTTTAGGGTTTAGGGTTTAGGGCTTAGGGCTTAGGGTTTAGGGTTTAGGGTTTAGGGTTTAGGGTTTAGGGTTTAGGGTTTAGGGTTTAGGGTTTAGGGTTTAGGGTTTAGGGTTTAGGGTTTAGGGTTTAGGGTTTAGGGTTTAGGGTTTACGGTTAGGGTTTTAGGGTTTTAGGGTTTTAGGGTTTTAGGGTTTTAGGGTTGAATCTGCAGCGCTTAGCAGCGGCTGACAGTTTAGGGATCTAGGGGCCAACCCTGAACACTGCCAGACCCTACAAACTCCTAAACCTCTTTCGACACTGCAAACCCCGAAAGACCTAAACCCAACCCCCTCTCCAAAAACCTGTGCGAACTTCCGGGGTCCTGTCCACAATTGCAGGCCACATCTTGTGCGCCAGGACCTCAGATGCTTCTTCTTCGACGCACCCTTTCAAAAGATGAGGTTGCTCTCATCGCTTTTTTCTGGCCCTTGTATGGGGGGGCTTCCGAAGTTGGGCGTACCTTAATGGGGTCCTTTTTGAAAAGGCAATCCTACTATTTGAGGGTCTACATGAGGGGTCCCCAAACCCTAAACCCTCAACCCTCAACCCGAAACCCTAAACCCAACCGTGGTCCAGGGGCGAGGGCAGCAGCGACCGTGGCCAGGACCTCGGCGTCCATTTCTTTTGGGGAGGGGATTGGGCCTTCGAGTTTAGCTAAACCACTACCCCAAAACCCCAAAAGAGACCCGAAAACAAAACCGACAACAAAAGTACCTACAAGTGCCCTGAGGTTCTAAAAGGCCTCGTGATTATCAGGGGATCCTACTATTTCGGGGTCAAAAATGGGGGTCCCCTATTTTCGCAAACCCCCATATGGGATAGAAACTACTACCAAACGGCTGCACCCTGATATATACATATATACTAGACCCAGGAGTAACCTAGGAAGAAAAAGGGCACCCTTTTTGGTTTCAAGGGGTTTATAAGGGAACCTGACCCCAAGTAAGGGCCTACTCCAGGTCCTAGTCTATGGACAGACCACTCCGCAAGCACCTAGGGACCGCAGCAGTAAACACCTCAAGTTGGCCCGGAAGCCGCGCCACACAGCCCAAAGAAGGCGCTAACCCTAAACCCTAAAAACCCTCAAGTTGAGGGTTCAGGGTTTAAGGTTTGGGGCCTAAACCCTAAACCCTAAACCCCAAACCCTAAACCCCAAACCCTAAACAATAGACCCCCCTTGGCACAGCCGGGCTGCTCCGCTCGCGCCGAAGAGCCCCTCGGAGAGGTAGAAGCTGACGTAGGCACAGCCGAAGGTGATCACTGTCTGGATGATCCTTTCGCAGTTCTAGGGTTGAGGGTTTAGGGCTTAAGGGTTTGGGGTTTAGGGTTAAGGGTTTGGGGTTTAGGGGTTTAGGGTTTAGGGTTTAGGGTTTAGGGATTTGGGGCTTAGGGCTTGGGGCTTGAGGCTAGGGGAAACTAGCTAGGGCGTAGGCTTTGCGGGCTCAGGGCTTCCCCTGTAACCCACCCTCTTAAAGCCCTGCAAAAGATGGCTTTCGGGGCTCGAAGGTTCCGGACTTCGGCAAATCAGCCACGCTTTGGTAGGGGAGAGGAGACAAGGTGTGAGGGTTTTTAGGCTTCAGGGGTAGCACGGCTCAGGGCATGAGGGGTCGACTGTATTTCGGATCATTGGCTCTAAACTCCAACCCTAAACCTGATGCCTGAACCCTTGTGGGTTTATGGCTGCCTCGCCCCCGCCCTGCAGACCAGAAGCCAACACAAGATGGTGCAAGGGTTTTGGGAACCCTGACTTGACACCCCCGAATGGAACTCCTCTAAGGCCCGACACACATAGGGCCAGGCGTCCCGCTCGAGTGGTCAAAGGGGCTTCCCACCATCTTCAGCGACAGGTACGCCAGCAGGCCCACCGTGCAGCCGGTGACGATGGCGATGGCGATGGTTCCTCTACTGAACTCGGAACCCCAGCAGAAGATTGCATTTTTTGCAGCTTTTTCGGAACTAAAGAGTGCCCAAATCAGTAAAAGCTATTCTCAAGTAGCCCTAAGGTTCGGGTGAGGAAGTTCACCGCCTCGTGCGCGTCGTACGCGGTGCCTGGGCGGAGGGCAAGCCATGGCTTGGCTTCTCGGGACAGGTTCTGCCGGTGGAAGAATCGAGGCGGCACTCAGGCAAGGGCCCTTCAGCATGTTGTACGCCATCAGATACCTGGGCGGCGCACGCAAAGTGCCCAATACCTTTTACTTAAGGAATAAAACCTTAAATATATACAGGATCCCTTGACAAATCTGGGTATATTCCTTCGTTAATGGGTATTGGGCTCTTTTGTATGCCCAGTGTGGCGCAGCACCAAACAACCCTGAGCCCTTAGTGGTGAGCACCGAAGCCACAAAGCCTTGCGGCCCACGATTTGAAGATTCCCAGCGTTAAGCCCACATATGCTAAATGCTAAAGCCTAAACCTCCAAAACCTACGGAGGTAGCTCCGCCTCATCTCGTGCTGAGCACGCTACTTAGGGCTCTAGAGGTTCATAGTGCGGGGCGATCAAGAGCGGAGCCACAAACCTTCAAGAGCCCGCACCTTTGAAAAAGTGAGGGGAGCTGCGCAATGCAACCTCCCCCATTAGGCCTGAATCACTGAACTGCCTGCTCTCCCACGGATAAACGGGCAAGCAACACGCAAAACTGAGACCCAAATAGGAGACCGAGACCATAGAACCCTGGATCCCAAGGCCTAGAACCCCAGCCTTTGAGCCTCCCAGTGCTGCCCAAAGGCAGCACAATCGCCGTACCGTCATTGAGTAGCGCCTGAGACTTCCACCAGAAACACATCGCCCCAAAAGCCTAAACCCTAAGCCCTAAACTCTCCAAACCCTAACCTGAATCCCAAACAAAGCACTCCTTAAACCTTAAACCCTAAGTCCCCTAAGCCCCTAAGGTCTCCCTAAACTCTGAACCCGTAAGATGAGCCCTCAAACCCGGAAGCCGAACCTCAAAAGCACGGCGGAACGCAGCAGACATCTCTCCCCTCACAGAAAAAGCCCTGAACGCCAGGCTTTTAGGGTTTAGGGTTTAGGGTTTAGGGTTTAGGGTTTAGGGTTTAGGGTTTAGGGTTTAGGGTTTAGGGTTTAGGGTTTAGGGTTTAGGGTTTAGGGTTTAGGGTTTAGGGTTTAGGGTGCAACCTCGGGGCAAAACCCTTAAACCCCGAACCCTTAAGCCCCCTGAACCCTTAAGCCGTCCCCCCAAACCGCAGGATGTCCCCAGAACAAAGAACCTCCAGGGCCGGCGATGCTGTACAAGGAAGGTAGGGAGCCAGCTGGCCACTTCTCTCACTTCTGGTCCCTTTTAGGGTTGCTACGACAAGGGCGGCCCCCGTAATATTTTCGGGCACCCAAAAGGGGACCCTAAACCCTAAACTCTAAACCCTAAACCCTAAACCCAGGGAAAGGCTTGGGTCTTCATGCTATAGCTCCCGAAACCATAAGCCGGGACAGAAACTTGAAAGGACCCAAGCCCTAAACCCGAGAACCCTAAACCGCACCGTCGAACCAGGAGCAAAGCCTCCAACCCTAAACCCTAAACCCTAAACCCTAAACCCTAAACCCTAAACCCTAAACCCTAAACCCTAAACCCTAAACCCTAAACCCTAAACCCTAACCCCCCCCTTGGGGCCGGCACTTCCCCTTGAATCAAGACCTTTGCCGAGCTTTGGGTACGATTTTTCTAAGGGGGAAAGCAATCCAGCTGTGGGTCATGCCGATCTGAATTCCTAAAGGGTTTAAGGGTCTAAGGGTTTTGGGGTTTTAGGGGTTTTGGGGTTTTGGGGTTTTGGGGTTTTGGGGTTTTGGGTTTTTGGGATTTGGGGTTTTGGGGTTTTGGGGCTTTGGGGTTTAGGGTTTAGGGTTTAAGGGTTTCAGGGTTTCAGGGTTTAAGGGTTTAAGGGTTTGAGGGTTTGAGGGTTTAAGGGTTTCAGGGTTTAAGGGTTTAAGGGTTTGAGGGTTTGAGGGTTTAAGGGTTTTAGGGTTTAAGGGTTTAAGGGTTTCAGGGTTTCAGGGTTTGAGGGTTTAAGGGTTTAAGGGTTTAAGGGTTTAAGGGTTTAAGGGTTTAAGGGTTTAAGGGTTTAAGGGTTTAAGGGTTTAAGGGTGTAAGGGTGTAAGGGTGTAGGGTGTAGGGTTCAGCGTTTTGGGTTTCTAGGATCTCTAGGGTCAAGGGGTTCGGGTTCCCGGGTTCACGGTCCGGCTGCTTCGGGTGTTGGGTTCAGGCTCAAAGCCCAGGCATGGGGATTGGGGGTGGGGTGCGGTGGGGCTGTAAGGGCTTAGGGTTCGGGCCTGGCAGAGCCCAGCCCCAAAAGGCAGACTTTTGGAGACCCTAAACCCGGAACCCTAAACCCTAAACACCCCTAAACCCTAACCCTGAACCCTAACCCGAAACCCTAAACCCGAAATCCGACACCCCAAGCCCTAACTGCAAGTCCTCAATGGTCGGTCCAGCGACTCGATGCCAAGCCACCAAGTGTGCGTGTTTAGGCTTGAGGGTTCAGGGTCCAGGGTTTAGGGTTCAGTGTTTAGACGAAGTCGCTTGCGATGAAGAGTATAGACCCTTTGTGAAGGGGCGCTTTGGGGACAGTTCAGGTGAAACACATCCACCGAGCCTCAATACCAGGGCTGAGGGCGCTGAGGGTGTCTGATTTCTGCAAGATCTGCAAACACCATTCTCACTTGTACCACCATTCTGACAGGGCTCGGAAACCTCAACCACTAACCCTGGGTTTAGGGCTCCCCCCAACCACCACTACAATCTGCACCTGGATAGCAACTAATTCGACGAGGGCGTTTCGTGCGGGGACCAGGTAATGAAGGGCCCACAAGGACTAAAAGCCAAATCCTCAACCCTAAACCCTAAACCCTAAATCAAGCCCATGGAACCCTAAACCCGAAACAATCACCCTAAACCCTAAACCCCAAACCCTAAACCCCAAACCCTAAACCCCAAACTTGACCCCAAAAAAAAGCCGAAGAAACCGAAACGCCAAACAGCTGAGCTGGTGGCCGTGAGGGTGGGCGAAGCCCCGAGCTCCTCCCGTCGGGGTTTATAGGGGGTTTATTGGGGGGGGGGGGGGGGGGGTTTGTAGGGGTTTATAGGGTTTATAGGGGCTTTATAGGGGGTTTATAGGGGGTTTATAGGGGGGTTTGTAGAGGTTCAAAGGGGTTTATAGGGGTTCAACTAAAGGGTTTAGAGGGGTTTGTGGGGTTTTTAGACTTCCAATACCCCTAATCAGGGAGGGCTGCCGGGTCTTGGGCATTTCTTTGCTGGTGGTTCGTAGAGAATGAAGGACAGGGTTTTGGGGCGTAGTTTAGGGTTTAGGGTTTAGGGTTTAGGGTTTAGGGTTTAGGGTGTAGGGTTTAGGGTTTAGGGTTTCGGGGTTAGTGTTTAGCTGAAGGCGGTTGAGGCGTCCCTATCTACGCCAGGGTGTGGAGCCCCCAAAATTCTTGCCTAGGCCTGTTGGGCCCTGTCTTTTGTGGGTTTGGGCTTTCGGGTTTGAGGTTGTTTTTACTACGTTTGCTTTTTGGGGTTTTGGGGCTTGTGGGCCTTCCAACCCTCCCTGGAGGGCCCAACCCCAAAGTCAGAAACTCCTGGAGTGCCCAACCCAGAAACTCCTGGAGGGCCCAACCACAGTCTCCCTTGGAGTGCCCAACCCCGGAGATTCCCTGAAGTGCCCAACCCCAGACACTCCCTTGGAGTGCCCAAACTCAAAGACTCCCTGAAGTGCCCAACCCCAGAGTCTCCCTTGGAGTGCCCAACTCCAGAGACTCCCTTGGAGTGCCCAACTCCAGAGACTCCCTGGAGTGCCCAACGGAGCCAACTCCAGTTGCAAGCACATACTAAGAAGGCGTATTTGAATCAATGTGTCTTTGTTTGAACATCTTATTTGCGCTCTTTCCTTGTAACGAGGAGCAAGGTGGGGATGTTCGAAGTTAAATAATTTGGATTCTGGCCGCTGCCCTAAATCCTGAACCCTAAACCCTAACCCCTTACCCCTAAACCCTAAACCCTAAACCCCAAACCCCAAACCCTCAGCCCCTAAACCTCTGGCAAGGACTCCTTCAGCAGCGCCACGACGGCCACCGGGTCTGTGGCACAGAGGATCGAACCTGCTTGCTTGAAGGCTCATGGTTAGTTGTTTTAGTATAGAGGCAACTATTTGGTTGGAAAAGGACAATCAAGGCAGTTCATTGTATACTTGTAAAGGGTATAGAGGGTAATGTTGGCCTGGCAAACCCTAAACCCTAAACCCTAAACCCTAAACCCTAAACCCTAAACCCTAAACCCCGAAACTGTGATGTAAGGGCTTCGAGCATGAAAGTTCGGTTCCCGGGGCCCAGTGTTCAGGGACTCATGAGTGTCTTTTGGAGGTGTTGTCGTTACGGGTTTGGGGGATATGGGCATTTCCGAAAAAAGGGCACCCCTTCTATCTCCCAAAAAAGAAGAGCATTCCCTTAAACGGACCCCCAAAAGGGTAGCCCCATTTTCGGAAACCCCCATGTGGGGGTTTTGGTGGTTTCGTTGGCCCTCGACGCTTAAAACAAGGCTGTTCAGGCCTTCGAGCGCGGGTTTTGCTAAAATGGAGCTTAGAGGGTGTTGGCTTTGGAGCTTGGGGGGCCTAACAGTCCTAACATGTAGAGTACTTCCGGTAGAGAAGCCTCAAGCCACATGTTCGCTGGGTGTTTTCTCTCTCTCTCTCTCTCTCTCTCTCTCTCTCTTCATCCATCTCTTGATCGCTCTCTCTCTTTCTCTCTCTGTGTCTGGGGTTTAGAGATAAGGGTCTAGGGCTTTGGGATTGCGAGTAGGATTTCTACTAAACCCTAAACCCTAAACCCTAAACCCTAAACCCTAAACCCTAAACTCGAGCTGCCTGTGGTGAGGCACAGGAGGAAGGGCCACTGGTAGGGCAAGTACCTCGGAGAAGGATCAGGTGGCCGCTTCCAGCATACCCAAGCCCCTGAACCCTCTTTAGGGTTTAGGGTTTAGGGTCTAGGGTCTAGGGTCTAGGGTCTAGGGTCTAGGGTCTAGGGTTTAGGGTTTAGGGTTTAGGGTTTAGGGTTTAGGGTTTAGGGTTTAGGGTTTAGGGTTTAGGGCTACATAATCGTGGTTTGAACCCCAAACCCGAAATCCCCAAACCCGCTTGCTTG